ATCATGTTAAGCTAACATCAAATTGTATATGATATGCTGATATAAGATGTATGTATGTTGTATGTATGGTATGATATATGATATTGTCCTACATACACAATGAGCACACTACTTGTGTGCAAAGCTTTTTTAATTTCCTTTTTGAATCTTATGTAGGACTCTTCGTGACATCCTGCCCAGTTTGGAATTTGGCCTCTAGTGGTCCATGTGCAAGTTAATGAGATATTGTGGAGAATTTAGTTCCACCTTGATTGTTAAAGGTGGGATATAGGATGGTGGTAGATATGATTCACTCAGCGTGCAGAATGGGAACTCTAGGGGCATTAAAAATGGTATCGAAGATGACCTTCGCGGCCACGGGCACTTGCAGGTTAGGGTGCAAACATGGGGTTCTTTGCGCGTGTAGGCCTTGCGAGGTGCACGGCATGGCACATGTGCCGGCACTACACGCACGGCCGCGTGTGCTAAGAGGGAACGTTCATGGTCATCGTTTGCTCGACTGTGGGTGTGTTGGGCCGACGAGGACGTCAGTTCCTTTCAGGGGGGTGTATGTGATATCCGGCCCAGTTTGGAATTTGGCCCATAATGATCCGTGCAAAGTGGATCTAAGCCGTTTGGACTCTGGGACGTTACACTAAAAAGGCGTACCCAGTGCAGAGAGCTCCCGCTCTGTGCGGGGTCTGGGGAAGGGTGTCAGTGGCAAGCCTTACCCTCACCTGTGTAATACGAGGAGACCACGACTCGAACACGGGACCTTCCGGTCATAGGCGGTAAGACTCTATCGCTTGCACAGGCCGTTACACTCTTGATCGAAATCCAATCCCACACAATGAGCGCACTACATGCTGTGCTCTAAGCCATTTTAATTTCTTTTTTGACATTTATTTTCATTGGAAATTGGAGTCGTTGAGTATGTTACCTATACTTTCAAGATCGAATAAAGTTTACCGGATTTTGTATTTTTCTTGGTTGTTTTTTTCTCATTCATGCCATTTATAGTAGTTGGAATCGCTGAACTCTTTTTGCATTCGGCAAAAGTGTAATCATTGAGCGTCTTGCTCCACTTTTCAGTCACTGTCAAAATTTTTCTGAAAATTTTGGCATTCTTTGTCACACCCAAAAATCTCCATTTTACAATGTGAACATTTTCACTAAATAAAATAAATTATCTAATAGTTTTTTTATAAAATTTCTTAAGCTTTTAATTAGTTTGTTGCTAGTTTATAGAGAACAAAAATTGCTTTACTAAAATTTTCTAAATTAACTTGTCATTTATAATATTACTCGTGTCACCCACACAGGACACAAACTCTATCACGCACTGGAACACAGGTTCGTGCAACTGCGCATCCCAGTCAGGGGCGGAGCTAGTGGAGGTGAAACTTGGGCTCCCACCTCCCTTGCTCTGTGTGGCTTCGCTGACCTCAACAGTTGTGTATAATGGCAGCTGCGGTTGGAGACGATAAACAGGGCGTCGAAGTCATTGGAAATGGCTGGTGGAGAAGATAAACAACGCAGTTTTAGAAAGGGTATAGTTGAATAGGCTATGTACCGGTGGCCCAAGTAAAAGAAACATGGCCCAATAGCACTAGCAAGTAGCTAGAGGCCAAAGCAATTCTGCATGGGCTAGTTCACACAACCCAAATTGCCCCTCCCCCCCTCGATTTGCTGGCATGCTCCGCCACTAATCCTAGTGCTCCCAAGTGCCACAACCCACCACTAGAGAAGAAGGTTGGGGGTTTGGGTTCCACAGCTTACCGACAACTCTAGAAGCGACTTTGGGTTCCTTCACGACACTAGAGCGAGCAGCGGCCCAATAGTGCGACGGGGTCGTTGTCGAATCTGTGGGGAGGCAAGAGGGTGCTAGGCAAGGTTGGTGGCAAGGGCGTCGCGATGTGAGTGATCGCTGATGACCTTGTGATTAGGGGAGGACATGATCAAGGCGACAACAAGCAGGAGGGATGGTGAGGCGGCGGGGGCCACTAATGGTGGAAGTGCGAGGGTATTGGAACGGAGGAGGGGCGCGCAAGATGGGACACACAAGGGTAGCTCTCCGGAACAAGAGGTCGATTGGGCACAAACAACGAGGGTTGAATGCTCGTCGAAGACATGACCGGTTGTGCCTTAACTCTTCCCACACTTAAGCCAAGAATATTAGGTTGTTGTACAAGAAACTTTAAGATATCTTGCTAGATACTACTAGTTACTAGTTCTGTTGTAGATCTACGTGTAACATGTTTGTGTGCGTGAAGCTCAGCTCGGCGATGTAAATAGCGGGTGTGGCAATCCCTCAACGACAGATTGTGTAGTTAATACCAACTGTCCACCACTCGAATTTCTTTTAAGGGAGACACTAGCGCCCGGACGCCCGCGCCTTCTCCCTGACACCCTCCTCTCTTGCGCGAGTCTAGACGCTCGGGAAAAACGCCGCGCCCACCGCTCCTTCCCCCTGACCCCCTCCTCTTTCTCTGCAAGTCCGGATGCCTGCGCCTCCTCCACGCGCCCGCCGCTCCTTTCCCCAGAACCCCCTCCTCTCTCTCCACGCCAGAGCCGGGATGAGGATGAGTGTGCCCCGTCCGCACGACTCCAGGTGAGCCGCGCACCTTGACTGTCGGCCCCCAGCACGCGCCATCCGCCGGCCCCGGCTCGCTGCGCCCCATCCCCTGGCGCCCGGGCCATGCCCCCATGACTCTCTACCTATTAAATATGAAACAATTGGATGCAACATACGTCTGAAGCAGATGAAACATTTGAAATATACACTTAAAACATGTGTGTGAAACATATGTAATATCCAAATAAAACACTTGCAACATGAAAACACTTATTTGCAACATAAGACTGAAATAGCTTAAACATTTCGAACATACTCTTGCGACATATGTGTGAAACATATACAACATTCAAATCAAAACGCTTGCAACATACATCTAAAAACAGATGAAACATTTTGAACAAACGCTTGCAACATGCCTCGGAAACACTTGCATCATATACAACATCCTGATTTACTTTTGTAACATCCATAGACACTTGCAACATACCTATGAAACGTCTGAAAACTTGAAACATACATTTGCATCATATGGGAGGGGGGTCGGGGCCGGTCGATTTCGGCCTCAGGGTGGGAGCCGGCGGCGCGCGAGCTCCACTAGCACGGGGGCACACTCGTGGTGCCCTTGGCTCGGCCAGGACTGACCTAAGGCATGCGATGACAGCACCAGCACCAGTAGAGGCGAGCGACGTGGAGCGAGCGGCCCGACCAGCAGAGGTGGGCGCACGTGACGGGCAAGAGATAGGAGCAAGCAGCGCAGGTAGGGTGCGTACGACGGGGAAGAGACGGCAACAGCGAGGCGGAGTGGGGCGCGCGGCGTCGAGACGGATGCTCGTGTGGGAGCATTACCGTTCTTTTAAACCTTTACGTAAATAATACTAGACTTTGTAAGAACGTGTATTGGTAGGATCAACGAACATGAAACTATCAGCGTGATTCCACCGAAGTTTGACTTGTCCTGTAACTTTTAAAGGAATAACTTACTGGTTCTACAACAAAATCTCAATCATCCCGTAGATAGAAATAGAAGTAGGGCATGTTTAGTAGAGCTATGCTTTACTTGTGGAGTAATTTTTTTTTCTTCAGCTCCATGATCAACTTCATTGGTGGAGTTAAAACTGTTTTGTTAAAAATATTTAGTAAAACAACTCACGGTAGATAAAAGAGTTGTTTATAATACCCTTAATCTTATTTTCTTCATTTATTATACCCTTAATCTTTTTTTTCTTTTCCTCTTTTATTTTCTTTCTTCCTTTTTCTTCTCTGCTTTCTTCCTTGTGCACAGGAGGCACTCCGCTTCCCTCGCTCGAAGGTTCTTCCGTACTGGCAGCCCCCGGGCCCTGCGCCGCGGTGGCCGATGTCTCCACGGCCCTACATCCAGGCTCTCCGGCAGCCTCGCGACTCCATGCCCCGACACCCCGGTGACCAGCGTCTCCGTGGTCCTGCGCCCCCGTGCCCCGCTCGCCGCGGCTCCATGGCCCGGCGGCGCCGCACCCCAGTAGGCCTCACCCGCGCAAGGGCATTTTAGAGAAGACCGCATGCATCGACAAGAAGCCGAGTGGAGTTTTTTTTTCACTGCCCAGAGAGCAAAAATTGCAGGTGAAGCGGGGCGGAGCGGCTGTCATTCGGACTCGTTTGGTTGGAGACAAAGCGAAGCTGCTTGTAGAGCGGTTCCAGAAGCGCTACCAAACGCGGCCTAAAGTAGCCTCTAACAAGAGTTTTCATGGTCTTATAAAACTTTAAAAGAATCACATGCATGCGAGATTCCATAATTGATCACTAGTCATGTGCGATAAATATTACACTGCCTCAACCTTGTCACATTCTCTCTGTTTCATTTTAATCGTATCCGTCACACAACGGAAGTCCAAAGATATTTCAGAAAAGTTGAGCAAGATAATAAGACATGAATACAGGTCAACATAACTCAGCAATGCATACATCGGCTCAGCAGTTAAGCAATAAGGAATACGGCCGAAGATATGTTTGTCAAGCATACAAATACTACTCAAATGAAGCAAGTTCATGGCAGTGCACTTTCTTCAAGGATAACAACACAATTGGACAAGGATCAACAATGTTCGTACTAATAGCAAGAGATATCCATGTACATGAACTCCGTTTCAAAGGCATCACCTAGGCGTCCAGGCATACCCAGCTCACCTTCAGGAACGCCTAGTTCCCTTTGAAACCATGTACATTAAGTCGACTCAAACTAGACAGATTATCAAGGCCTAACAGAAATTAGACAATCATCTTTTTTACAGCTTATAAGACATGGAAGCTGCAAAATAGCATTAGATGGACAAAAGCGAGATTGATAATATAAGCCAGCACTTAAATTACAGGTAGATGGTCTAAGCAGGTGACTAGAGATTCTATCTTCACCCTTCACGAACCACATTAGACAGAAGAGTAGAATATAGCATCCTTGTGTCTCCAATTTCTACTCCAAAGTCTTCATTTCATCTAAGCTGAAACCTGATCAATGTGAAAACAGGAATAAGATCCGAGGGGAATAGAGTAAGAAATTATAAATTATCTAGCCATGGGCACGGTTGAGGGTTGACGACATATTTTCGTTTGATTAAACTTCAGAACAATGCAGTTATGCCAAAGTTGGGTAAATGTTCTATTAAAATGAAATTAGTGTTAACTCTCACAATTATTAGATCATTTTCTACCAGTGTTGACCTAATCATTTCACCACAAACACTAGTAGCAGAAACAACCGATTCAGCTCATTATGAGAATACAATGGATTAATAATACAAAACCTAGCAGATAAAGTAGACTTCGAAGCCAACAATTAAACAAATAAACCAAACAAAAGATAAATTGGATATGACAGTATTGGCGATTTATATCTCACAATATTCTGGGATACTTCATATCTCACAGAAAGAACTGACACAGAAATGAAAAAATAAAAATTTGAATGATTATACAGAACTACAGCCTTTTTGAACAGGTAACAACATAACTTCACCAGAGCAAGGGAAAAGCTAGAATAAAAAGAGAATTCATGGAAGAGAGTTGAAATTCATCTATAAATTGGCACCTTAGGTCCAACCAGTCCTGATTTCCTAACTAACTTCATAGGCATACTTTCTTTCATACAAATGGACATTACATTAAATGTTAGGAATATAAATGCATGAGGAGTGTTGCAAGTTATCTTACATATGTTAAGTGCAGACAGAAACTTCATAATCTTGAGAACTCTATCGTCAACCACTTCACACTTGATCTCAACTATCTTAAGGTGTTCTGAAATTGCAGTTGATCTCTTCATTGAGCTGACACGTAGTTTGATTTCCACTTTATGTTTAAACCACTGCAGAGAACAACCGAGCATGATCAAATGTCAACTAATAACTCTACAAAGTAGCAGTTGAGCATTTGTGAAGTGCATACCATGTTGTGGAGTTCAAAACTGAGCTTCTCTAGAACAGGTGAATGTTCAAGAATGCACGCTAGCATGGAAATCATAAGCCGCATACCAGTAGCCATTCAGCAACAAGGTCTTGAGATTTGTAAACACAGGGCACCATCTCAAATCTCTTTTAAAAATAAACTGCACAAAGTGCAAACAAAAAAGATGAAATAATCAACACTGTGAACATATTTCATTCATAACCATAGTTGGTGGCAGTGCATGCAAAAAACAAAGCATCATATATCAAATTTCAACTTCACGACACCTAATACAAAAAGGGTAAAAGATGAAACTTTAAAGTAAAACTATACCATGTTAGATGCAGATTTCAACGCCAAGCTCTTAGCCTCCGATAAACCTCTTAGAAGCACACAGTTGATATTGCCATTGGCTGTGCTATCAGAACTATCACAAGATTCACAATCACAAGTCCAAAAGTAATTTGCATTAGTGCAGCGGTCCCTACACCCCCCTGCTATTTTGACAGATGCCTCAAGTAATGAGGGCATCCCCTCAAGAATGGGAGTCCTCCCCTCAAAATGCTCAAGGCGCAGCGAGGCAACATTTGGGGTGTAAATGTTGATGCGAGAATCAGAGCTGCCTATGGAAAAAATGATGATAAGATGTTTCGGGGACTCGGACACAATCTTGTTGACCGATGACAACTCACAATCCATGAGCTTTAGATGATCCAAGGATGGACAGTTTGTAAAGTTAAGAAAACTGTTGTGGACCTGTACACCAGCGAGCTCCAGCCTCCTCAGGTGCTAGGAGATGAGAGGCAGGTTGCCTAGTTGAAGACAGGGCTCATGCAGACTGCGTACAAACATAGAGAGGCTGAGAACATGAACTTTGCACATCACAACATGCTGGAACCAGAGGTTTACGTGGGACACATCATCATGGCTGCTGAGCTGAGCATTGAACGTGAAATAGCATTTCTCGAGGGGTGAATCTCTGCGGAGGAGCAGCAGATGGTTCACCAAGCTCCGGAGATCCTCCACAGACTCCAGTTGATCTGGGTCCACGGACCCCACCCACAGGCCCGTGGCAGATTTCCAGAGGTGGCGCCATCTGCGGGCGAGCACGCTCGTGCGGATGGCCTTCTCAGACGGCAAGAAGCCAAGGATGTGTTCAAGGACTCCATCAGGCAGGGGTTCAATGCCCCTGCTACTGCCAGCGGCCTGCAGCACCCCTCCCTTGGCCGTTTTCCCTTGAGGCATTTTGTCGAACAGCAACCGGGCCTTGGCGCTGCAGGAGTGCAGGACAAGACACGGTCAGAAGACGCGGATCAGTTATGCTGAGGGCAAACAGACGACAGGCGGCGAGCGAGACGGAGACCTCGCTGGAAGGCTTGTGCCGGCCTCACCTCACTGTCGGCGGCAGCACTGGTCTCCCAGACAGCCCATGTCCCTGGTCGCTCCCGCACTGGCCTCTGGCCGGCTGGGGCAGGCCGTCACCCGCCTCCGCTTTGCTGGCTGGCCGCCCTGCGCCCGGACCGGCGGGCACCCGGCCGTCTGGCAGCCGGTCGCCTGGACGGCTGGACGCCGACGGTCCTGACCGCGCCGCGCCCCAGCTCAGCCTGATGCCCGCGCCGGTGCCGCTCCCTCGCTCCTGCTCTTCTGCTCGCTCGCCCCGCTAGCCCGCTGTCCGGTGAGCAGTGGCCACTAGGGTTTGGATTTGGCCTATTGGGGAGGATTGGGGATTTTGGGCATCGGGGAACTTCGCGAACTGGTGACGCACTTCGGCATTTGTGGAGAAATAGGCCGGGCGATAGCGGAAATCTTAAACGTGCGCCGATGGTTTCCCGCCGCGCAGAGGATTCCTGCGCCGATCTCGCTTCGTCCGTTAGCATGCGGCCCAGATCGAATGATTCTGCTGGACGCAAGATGACTGCACGCAAACTGGCTGGATGCAGGATTCTCTGGTGCGAGCAGGTAGGCAGTACGTGTTTCCTTTCTTTTTTTTTTCTTTTTTGTTCATGTGGTTTTACTTTTACTTTTTTATTTTTCTATTTTTGTTTATTTCTTGTTTATTTTCTTATTATATTTTTTCTTTTGATTCATGTTTTTCATTTTTATTCTTTCTTTTTTTTCTTTTTTATCCTTTTTTTTCTTTTTCTTATTATTTTCTTTCTTTTTTTCCTATCCTTTGTATTTTCCGTGCATCAATTTATCTTTTATTTTTGTTTTATGTGAATTGTTATTATTTTTTATTTGTTACCTTTTACTCGCAATTAGTCTAATTATATAAAAAAATTTATATTTTAAAAGTAGTTACATTATATTTGTATTTACAAATCCTTTCAAACGAACAAACTGTTGTTCCTATAAATTATGTAATTTAAGAAAAATTATAGGTCAAAATATGTTCTTAAGACCACACTAAGTCAAATCATACCTTATATTCGAAGACGGAGGGAGTATGTTGCACGTGTATATTTCAAATGCTTTAGCTGGTTCAAACTGAAAGGATCTGGCAAGTGGTCTAGAATGGGTGAATAGACTTTTTTCTGAAATTTAATTAATTTCATGAAACCAGTCAGAACGCGGAACCTCCGGGTATGATCGCGGAGGTTCTGGGACTGAGCGTGAAACCTCCGGGATCAGAGTATGAAATTGATCTACTGCAAAATTTAACGAATGAAAAATAGATCGAATGTAATACTAGCTTTCTTGGGAAGTGTGTTGAGCTATTCAAACAGTTAGTTGCACCTAGAAAATGAGGAATTCGTAGATCGGATACAAACCCTAAAAATCAATTCAAATCACAAGTAATAGTAACAACAACAGCAATCACACAGGACACGAGGATTTATCTCGTGGTTCAACTCGCCACAAAGACTTGTCTACGCCCACGTTGTTGAGGTTAGCCACAAAGGCTATGAAGTCTCTTTCAACTCACTCCTCTTCTACAACCTATCACCAAGGCAATGGATTGGAGGGTTCCACTAAGTCACAAAAGGGTAATACAAATGTTCCGTTGCTCAACCACAACGGATTGGGAGCTACCGGGCGACCGCTAGCCATCTAGAAAGCTCCAAGAGAAACGAACACACCAAACGGCTAGAGCTTCACCAAGTGCACAACAACAGAGGAGAAGGATCTTCTTGAGCTTTCTCACACTCTCTATAGCCAAATCCTTCAAGGAATCACAAAGATTTGAGCAAGAGAGTTGGGAGCACCAAGCTTGGAGAGAGAGCTTCTGTTCGTCAGGAATGAAAGGAATAGAGAAGATAACCGTTGGGGGCCAAAAGCTATGGTATAAATACCACCCACGTCGCCCATAAAACGGTTGGGTCTGACAGACCCTGGAGCCTCTGTGTTTGAGCGTGGAGGTTCCGCGCAGGCCGGAGCAGATAAGAATTCAACTCGGCTGACTTTTTGTGGCTGGGATTATTTGAGACGTAGATAGAGTTTTGAGCACTTGGTTCTCTCCAGCACACCATTAGTATCCCCTTGATAGTACGGCTTGTCCTATGACTCAATTTCAAAATATAAAATAAATTAAACTAGCTCTTGGAGTCATTGCAAGCCATCCATTCGAGTTGGGGGTCTCCTCCTTTGTTTCTTTGCATCTATAATTAAAGATATGTTGTCAAACACTTGTCAAAGCTATTAGTCCTTTAATTATGTGGTCAACATCACCAAAACCCGCTTAGAGCTAGATTGCACTTACACTAACGTATGTAGCAAGTCTTTTACCTGGATGTTGCATATATTGCACTGCCTATACATGCGTTGCAAGTGTATGTTTCAAATATTTTAGCTATTTCAAACTTATGTTGCAATTATTTTATCTGGATATTGCATATGTTGTAGTAGGCATACACATATGTTGCAAACATATGTTTTAAATGTTTCATCTGTTTCAGACGTACAGACGTACGTTGCAGCAAATGGTTCATGTTGCAAGTGTTCCATGAGCAGGCGCGAGAAGTGGGCATAGGCAGAGGTGGTCACCGCGGGCGTAGAGCTCCCATGTGCGCCTAGGAAGTGAAGTGGGCGCGGCGGCCCCCATGTGCATGCGCAGCAACAGCGCACGGCGGCAACAGTAGCAGCAACACGCGGCTAGGTGCTCCCGCAATGTGTGGGCAGGTGGGTAGGAGCTGTGTGCATATGCGTGGGCGAACAGGAGGCGCGGACAGTAGCAGCAACACCCAAAACGTTATCAGTTTTCTTCCTTCCTTTACTTTTTGTTCCAGACTTGATGTTAGCCTGCTACGGACTACGAGAGTGGATGTGCGTGCTAGATGAGAGATATTTAAATGTATGGCCCTTAAAATAACGTGTCTTTCTTCTATGGTAGGTATTTTTCGAACTTACCTATAAGGCTTGAAAACAAAATTCTCTTACCTGTATGGCCTTCCGTCCGTTTCTGGCACTTAACGATGTTAAGTCAAGGGTGAAATGATCAATTTACCCCTAGCAAGAAAACAAAGCATACATTGGGATCACATATAGCAAGTGAATTCAATATGCATATCACAAATCAAGGGTTGAGCCATCTTTTGATGCGTGCACTAAACTCTACACTTTGTTTTTTCGCTAGGGGTAAAATGGTCATTTTACCCTTGACTTAACACCGTTAAGTGTCGAGAATGGACGAAAGGCCATATAGGTAAGAGAATTTCATTTTCAGGCCTTACAGGCACGTTAAAAATAGGGACCATAGAATGAAGACACGCTATTTTAAGGCCCATACAAGTAAATATGTCTTTAGATGAGATGACATGGCTTTGTTGGCGTGCCTACTTGTGGCTGATATATTTTCTTTTTCTTAGTTAGAAAAATGGGCAGCTCCAGATCGGCAACAGTCCATCTGAATTTTTTCTGAACTTTAGATAACAACTTCTTTACCTGCACAATAAATATTAATAGCTAAACGCTCAAGTGATAAAAGAGCGCTCGTGATAAAATCCGGGAAAGCCTAATAAATCCCCATGTGTATGATGGTAAATGGTGGACTGGTAGGGAATTGTCAACACGCTTGTCCCCACGCATTGAATCATATTAGTATTATGCAAATAAGAAATTTCGTGTCATGTACTCATGTGATTTCATAGCATTAATGAAACGCAAATACATGAGACCGTTTTTCCAATCTGGCGGCATATGACGACGACTGGTCGAGAAATTGTGGAGATACCATTCAACCAAAACGACCAAGACATTGACTGCAGAAACCGATGCCACCGAATAAGATGAACTGAACGGTGAATGCTATGCCGGTACTGCACACATTCACATACATTCCCAATAGAAGAGGAAGAAGAAACGAAAGGTGTGTAGGCGCTGAAAATGGCTGCACTCAGGTTCCTGCTTCTCAAAGGAGCAGCCATAATCTGGCTGCTTCCGATCCTTCACAACATGCCATCGGTATGTTGTAGCGATTATTTTTAAAATTTGTTTAAAAAAAAGATTTAAAACATTGTCCATGCCTCGCCACCTTGGTATCTTTTGTTGGGCCACCAAATCTTTAATGAATGATATGCTCATTTTCGGTTTCCACTTCTCGGTCCAAATTTTGCTGTCACCCTATTCATGCATCATCCATTCATCGGGCATCCTAGTGCCCGGACGTCCAGCGCGAGCGCTACGTCCGTACGCCGCTCCCTTTCCCACACTACGTGAAAAACAGTTTGTAGCAACGGGTTTTTTTTTCTTTAGGGGCGGCTGGCATTGGAGCCACCCTTAGAGTGACTTGCTTGGGCTCCAGCACAGCAGCCGCCCCTACAAATGGCACAGTAGGGGCGGCTGGTAATACGAGCCGCCCCTACAAATACGTCAATTTGTAGGGGCGGCTGATATTCAGTCTGTTCGGGAGGCCGTATCGTATCGTGGATTATTTACTGCTGGCTGGTTTGGTGTGAGAGAAAAACACTGTTCCCGGCTGAAAATTTACGATCGTTTACGAGCAAGCGAACAGGCTGATTACCGGCCGCCCCTGCTGTGTCCATTTATAGGGGCGGCTACAAATACCCGATGTATATATAGTGGCCAGAAAATTCTCTCCCCCTCCTCTCTCTCTCTCTCTCTCTCTCTCAATCTCTCTCCTTTTCGCTCCCTCTCTCCCTCGACGCGGACAGGGCGGCGGCGGCGCCTGGCGCTAGCGGGCGCGGCGGCTACGGCCGCCTTTCTCCACCTCCTCCTCCCTCCTCGGCTCCTCCCCTCTTTGCCCGAGTCGCTAGCCTCCTCCCTGCCCCGCCTCCTCCCGTCCTCGC